ACACAAACTTTTAAATTGTTGATGTTAAAATTTAAAATTTAAAATCACCATTAATATTCTGCGCCATTCATCGTTATCTCGATGTTACAATATTGCGCTATATATTACAACATGTTTCAATAATATAAAACAAATATAGAATAGTTTTAAAAATAAAAACCTGAAGATGGTTTTATATTATTGAAACATGTTGTAATATATAGCGCAATATTGTAACATCGAGATAACGATGAATGGCGCAGAATATTAATGGTGATTTTAAATTTTAAATTTTAACATCAACAATTTAAAAGTTTGTGTGTAGACTTGAATAATAAATATATATTTGAATTTTGAACACAAACATGACGCATCTAAACTATAAAGATAATTAAAATATCATTTTATGTTCCACATCGAATAATCGATTTACATTTAATTATATTAATTTCATTTATATCCCACAACAGATCTAAGGACACATTTTTAATAGGTACAGAGCCTGGCGCCGGTAACAGGAGTATCTCTTTCACCTTCTTTATTTCCATTTCTTTGGACGGAGGACGATCACTCGATCGATCGATCGATCGATGGATCGATAGCATGCAATTACCGAGTTAAATTTGTTTTATTACGAATAAAATTCCACGCATTAAACTTAGCGAAATTTTTAAAATAATCTCAGTGAACGAATTACCATATGAATACTTTTATTGATATTTGTATCGAAGCTGCTTACAGTACAATACGATAATGACTTGCGTGATTGCAATGAATACGGCTGAAATTAATTTAGATTCTATTGGTAATAATAATAATGTACATCCACACCTCCAAATCTGTTGTCATTCAAAGTAATTTCCATGTTTCATCTTTGTGAATAGTGTAATTAGTAAGTAGGCGCCATACATTGGGGTTGGCCGATTAATCAAAATACATTGATGTGTTATTAAAGCTCACTCTTTGAGTACGCACTTCCACGTTATGTTTGTCAATCCACAGGTCACATAATGTCAAATGACTACACAATGCATCGTGATTACGGTGGATATTCACTTTTGTGTGAAGTGTATTTAATTTGCTCAACGTTTTTATTTTCGTGGAAATTTACTCTATTACAGTCTCAGATTACTACTTATAATTATTAGCAAACACGTTTAGTATATGAAGGATACCAAGCTCAACCCTGACAGGGCTTAATAAAGTCATGTCATTTGTTACCGAACCGTAGGTCTCGGAGACGCGATTGTCATGTCAAGGTTAGATCATGCCAAAGTCACGTCAATGTCAAGCCAATACTCTGTATAGTAGAGGCATTTAAAATCTGTAAGATTAGGTTGGTTTAGGTTAGGTTTTTTGGGTTACTTTGTGTTAGGTTAGGTTAAGTTAGGTTAGGGTTAGTTTAGTATGGGTTAGGTTGGGTTGGATTGGGATATATTGGGTTAAGTTAGGTTACGTTAGGTTAGGTTACGTTAGGTTAGGGTTAGTTTAGTATGGGTTAGGTTGGGTTGGATTGGGATATATTGGGTTAGGTT